CATGCAGGTGTAGTCACACAGCTGTTCCTCAGTCTGACTTTTGCCACATACCCAAGATCACACCCTTAAACTCAGTATTAATCCAGAGTAAACACCACTCCCTGGTTTCAGCCTCATGATCACCAGTACAGATTACAATTTCATTTCATAGATAAACATGCATGAAGGGATACGATGACACAGAGGAAAAGTCTATCATAGCCATTTTTAATGTTGCCAAAAACTAACTAAATTACTTTAGGTGATCTTACGACTGTAGTCCAATAAAATTTCATGGCCTTCATATTTTAATCTTTTGTACAACTTCCATGTATAGAAAAATCCCCCCCTCCAAAGACTCCTGAAATTTCAACCTATCAGAAACTACTGAAATGTCAGGAATTAAAGAAACTACAGTCCAAAGTATATGTTCATGGCCAGGCTGGCTGGAATTTAAAGGGATGCAGGCAAAACCATCTGAAGAATACAGAATATCAGATTGACTATCCCACTTTTACTGTATTGTCAAAGTGCAAAATATTCATTTGAAGCTGTTGGTGTTCTTCCAATTACATTCCCTTGCTCCACCACCTAATGATGGCTTCTTTGGGGAATATCTTTTGTTCCTTTTGGATGAATATGAAGAGCCCATCTCCTATCTCCCTTCATAGAATGAAGTCAGTGTAGGAGAGAGGGTTGAGTTCATATGGTATTCCTTTCTAGGGATACCTCCCCACCACACACATTCCCATTACTTTATCCCTCCCCTCCCCTCCCCCAACATCCTGTGCAGTGGAGGCCTGGTTTCCCTTGAAAGATTTCTAAGGAGGTCTGAAAAAATAACTTCAGCTTTTGTTTACTTCATTTTCACATTTAAGATGAAATAGTGCCAGGATAAGTTCATAGAGCAACCTACAGTAAACCTTGTTAGCAGCAATGAAAGAGTATATTCTGTAGGCCTTGCAAAAAAAAAAAAAGAAAAAGGCAAAAGGCAAAAACCAAAACTCAACAACCATTTCTACTTCTATTTTTATTTATTTATACAGAAAGGTCACCTTTGGGTGGAATGGGTCATTTTATTATTGCAAAACATTACATTTGTGCAAAAGGGGTCACATTTCTTATTGAAAATAAAACTGTTCCTAGCAGAATTAAGAAGCAAAGATACTAAAAAAATAGTGATCCTGCTGATGTGCAATCAAGAAAACAATAAGAAAAAAATTCTTGCTGCACTTTCAATTATTATTTATCATTTGATATCAATGGTTCCTCTTTGGCCTCAGATCAAAACAGGGACAAAGTAAACCATAGCTAATGGTAAACAAAGAACGGGGGTGGGGGGGAGAGAGAGACAGCTAAGAAACTGGCCTTTACCTGAAGTAGAATACAAATTCCTTGATGTTCTTTGGTACAGTATCAAGCACTGAATTGGCCAAAGATATTTTGCTGCCAGGGCAAGATAGCTTAGTAACTTAATTTACAGGAAAAGGTTTTATTTTGCTTTTCTTTTAAAAACATTTGAAGTAATAACCTCCTCTATTCCACTTAAACTGATGTGACAACATTCACTACCTCAACTGAAAGCATTACACTCTCTGGACAGGCAACAGGATGGATTCTAGGCTGCCCACAATTATGTACCCCAACAGAAGAGAAAGGCTGGGGGCTGCTTCAGGACCCCTCCTCTGCAACTCCATCCACCATCAGAGAAAACAGGTTGACTAATGTCAAATGTACCAGTTGTATTTTGCAGATAAGAAGAAAGCTGCATTTAAGTGTGAAGCAATGTTCCTACTTACCCTAATCTCATTGCGTCGGATCTCCACGTCACATACTGAGTGCCCTTGGTGTGCACCACTGTAGTAGCAACAGAACTGGCAAACAGCAACCTGTTCAGCTTCACAATGATACAGTCGGTAAGCATTGTGCTGGGGGCAACTCCAAGCCCTGACGTCATCCGCCTCCACCAAGAGGTGCCCACGTGCTGTAGAGGGCTGTTGCAGGTGTGTCTGAACGTGGGATTGACAGCATGGAGCTTCACACCTTAGACAGATCTTCTGTGCAGGCAAAGGTGGCCCACGGCGGCAGAAGACACAATGTAAGACTGAGGGAGTCTTTTCCAAATTAAGAGAGTTGAATTTCTCCACAATGTTGGTCAATTTTAAGTTCTTTTCAAGGTTGGGCTTTTGGTTGTAAGCCTGATTACACTCAGGACAACGCACTAGCCCCGACTCTTTGGCCCAAGCCTCTCCTATGCATCCCCTACAAAAATTGTGCTTACAAGGAAGTTGGACAGGTTCCACAAAGACATGCAGACAAATAGGACATATAAGCTCTTCTTCAAAACAGTTCTTCCAGTTTTCAGCCATGTCTCACCCAGATCAGAACTTTCCTTTTAATCTCTTTAAAAAGTCAGTTTTTGGTCTACTAAAGCAGATGATGACGAGTTTCCACTTTTGCAACAGAAAGGCCACTAGATTGCTAATGAACCAAAAAATTAAAAATGCAATTAATGTAGATCTCCTAAAATTTAAAGTAATATATTCCCAACAACCCCACTTATATTAAATATAATTAACAAAGTACCAAAATTGCAGAATAGATACGTCTAAAGTTTGAAGCCAAACTTTCTTAATTCTTATAAGGTTTTTATTTCTGATTCTGAAAAGCAAAAGTAAAACTTACCGAGAATTGAAAAAACTCCATACAAAATCCAGAAGAAAGTCCAAATGCCATATAAACTTCCTGTATTAAATATTCCTAATTACCACTTTTTGACCATTTAATATCTGAAAGGAATTTATATCCCTTGTAACTAAATTCAAGCCTCCCTTTTCAATTATTTTTCCTCTGTAAGAAATTTGAGTCTTTAATTGAATCATTAAAAAGCTGGAGATAAATCCATATGCAAAGGAGAGGAGGAGCAGCTAGTTCTCTAATGCTGTTGAATGGTGCAAAAGGATTTTTTTTCCTTGGCTTTGGGACAGTGCAATCGCAGTAGGAAGACGGTCAATCACTCAGATGAAATTCCAGCCCAGAGCCAAAAGGACCCTCCCATTCTTTGCTCTTTTTACAAATAGGAATGAGAAGAAAAATACTTTAAAAATGTCTAGTCTGAAGAGCAGTAATAATCAGAAACAAGTTCAATGGAAAAACAACCTATTTTAATACTCTCTGGAATTCTGTTTTCATGATTTGCCTTGTTTTTAATCTTTCATAAAAGTAAGGTAGAAACAATACTCCCAACTCCAAAATCCTCAGCCTTTTGGAGTGATGGTTTGCTCTCGCTGGAAGGAAAACAAGTATGCCTTGATCAAACTGAAAAGGAATTTCTCAACTGCTAATGAAAAGCCCAGACCCCGCCTCTTCCCCTTTGCTTCTCTGTTTTCCTTCTGACATGAAAGCTATTTCTCCTTTTGGAACCAGCCTGCAAGGGGGTGGGAGAAGAGGAAGACAGACAAGAGCTAGAAGAGAACTGCTGAAATGTACAATTCCAAGAGGACCTACTCAGTCCTCAGCCATTTTGAGTTGATTTTATTTTTAATTTGTGGGATTTAGGGGAGAGAAATAGAAACAAACATGCAAAAGACAAGGGAGGGGAGCTGGTGAATGGCACCACCCTGCAAAGCGTGTCCTGATGGGGGAAAGAGAGAGAAAGGCATACACGAAGGAGAAGGGGAGAAGCGGAGTGTTCTAAATTGGGTTTATATAGCTGCAGCTGCTGTGTCTTTTAGTTTTTATTATCAGATCAAAGAAACCCCTACATACTCCTTGCAACCATCTCCAGCCATCTTGGGTCCCTTCAGTTCCCCTTTTAAGTAAAAATGTATTTTTAAAAATATGTGTATCTACACCTCTCTTCAGCACCTCTCTTCTTCAGCTCTCCCTCAGTCACAACAGAACGAGCTAGCAGACCAATGGATCAGACCTGTGTCACATAAAAAAGAAACAACAAGAAACACAGCCACGATTTCAGCCTAACAGAAGGAAAAATAAATGGGGGAGGGGGGCTACTATTACCACACTATCACCCACAGCGATGACAAGAAAGAATATGGGAATTCCGAAACAGGAAAATAGGGTAATAAATTAAAAAGCAGGTCCATTTATCTATTAATATCCAGTACAGAAAGCCTACATGTATTTTCAAAAACCTTTTCCCCATTCAAGGCAGAGGAGTGATGAACCTAAGAAGCTCTGCCTGCTTCGCCAAGATTTTCCCCCCTTACAGATACAAATTAAAACCTAACAACCTTCTCCCCCCTCTAAGGTTTGCAATATAAAACAAGTCCGAAGTAGGGAGTGGATGGCCCAATAAAATCAATTAAATGAAGTATGCTGAGCAGATCGAAAGGGTCGCAATCAAGGTGAAGGGGAGCAGGCGCCGGAAACAGGCAGAGATGATGCTGCCTCTTTCCCTCCGCTTTTCCCGGGATGGCGAAGGCGCGTTAGGGTCGCGGTGAACGAGAGGAAGAACCGGAGTATGAAGGAACTCAAGGGCGGAAAGATGACTAAAGATCAAGGGCGCATCGCAGGATTCCCCCCGGCTTGGATTAAAAGAACAGGAGCTCAATCCGACCCCAGCTTTCAGTTACCCAACGGCAGGGCCCCTTTAATGCACGATTGTCAATCGATCAATCAATCGACTCCGAGGAATAACAAGCGTGGAGCCTCCAGAAGCGCAAGGACAAAAAAAGGGGGGAGGGGAGGAATCGCCGCGCAGTCCGGTGGAAGCCGCTGTCCTAGCTCGGACCCTCGTCTGGATTCAGTCCCTCCTTCCTCCCGGGTTTGCGCCCACCCTAGCCGCAGTCAGCGCCAGCCATTCGCTCCCCAGCTCGGTAGACCGGCGACGGCGACGATGGCTTCTGGCGCTGCTCCTGCCGCCGCGTTGCTCCTCAACCCCTTCTCCAGGGCCTCACGTGACCGCCACAATTTGATACATTAAACACAACGCGTCCGGCCTCTCTTAAAGGGGCAACGGCGGCTCCGGTTTAGGTCGGCCTTACAGGCCTCTCGCCTAACTCCCGCCTTTCTACAGTACTTACTGAGCGAGCGGGACCGCTAGGAGGCCCGTTGCCATGCCTGAGGAGAGCCAGCCATTGCTGAGTTCCCTTCTCTTCGCTTGCCTTTGCTGGATGTCACGGTATGACTGAGTCATAGTGGGCTGCTCCCGCCACCCCCAAAGGGAGGGGAAGAGCGTGGCTGGAGCTGCCAATTTAATAGGCTCAGGAGGCTTTCTTTCTTCCCGGTGCCGGCAGCAGGCGTCCCAGCTGGGCTGCCCGGGGTGGCCGTTGCAAAATTCAGCGGATGGCACAAATAAAGGGAAGAGCTTGTTGGAGTTACAGAGGCTTTGAACCTCAATTAGCGATGCCGGGGGTCGAAACGGGATGGCTTTGCGTGCCAGTCGGGGTGTTTTTAGCACTGCTTGCCCGTGGCCTTTCCCAGCCTTTTAGAAAGGAATATGGTGTTGTACCTGCTTGCCCATACTGTAAGCTTTTTCTGATCGAAGCATCCCTCAGTTTTGTACGCTGCTGTTGGTATCATTATTACTGCTAAAAATGCCAGGTGAACAAAGAAAAACGACACATTATCTACAATATTAAAACTTGCCGGTGCCCTGTCCTGGAAGTCCTACAAACAGGAGTATATTTTAAATTCTACACTGCTGTGCTATTGAGTCTGGTTTATAGAAGTCATTTATGTTAATCCATAATTTAGCTTTGACGTATTGCTATCATTGTGCCAAATCCTAGCAATACAGTGATATCTTGGATGAGGAAGAGATTGGGAAATTCAAAAATCACTGGATTTCTATGATAGGAGTTCAGTTGTTATAGTATAGGTATGAAACTGACTAGGAGTAAAAGAATGCCCTCTAGTAAATGGACAGTTTGAAAAGAAAATCACAATGGAAGCTAACTTGTTTTCTGTGTTTTTTTTTATAAAGGGAGTAAGGATAAGGGATGGTTTTCTTTCTCATCATTATTATTCAGTGTCATACATTTTTCCAGTGCTAAGACTTATTTGAATGGAGAGCATAGTGGGTTACAGATGTTTTATTAAATTTAGCATAATTTTATTTTGCTCACCAGCTGAAAAATCTCCCTAAATGACTTGTAAAGGTCATAAATAAGAACATCTCTGCTGTAGACTTGAAAGGAAGGTATAGGCTTTATAAAACACACTGAGTCAGTTACTTTAACTATGATTTATTTAATAAGTCACAATAACCTGGCCTTGTAAAACAATCAGAGATCATAGTTTAATCATCACATTAATCAAGAATAAACCAAACCACATATAGCTTCTAATTTCTTACTTAAAGTTTTGGAAGCACTATTTCAGTAAACGATGAATCTGGATCTAAGCACAACTAAAGTGTTGCTGCTGCTGCTTTTCGCTCTGCTGGCCTCAGCGATGGCCACTGATAGCTAGTAGTAGGAAACAATATTAAAACTGGTATGCTGCAGCTTGGTTAACTGCTGCTTGATTCTGGCTCTGATGAAGGTTGATATAAGCTGTGTAGCAGCAAACAAGCATATCTGATATGTGTGTTTGCATGTTTTCATATGTTAAGTGATATCTATATTTGATTTCTTGTATCTAGATATTCTAGATCTAGAAAACAAAGTAGAAGGAAAGGTCTAACAGAAGGATCTGTAAACAAAGCTTGATTTTTGTCTCCCCCCCCCCAACTAGTTAACTGTGCTGTTGTGGGCTGTGACATTTTCTATTGGATGTTCCAGCCTTAACTTTATTTAGAGTGGTTTCAGCATGCATTTAGAACCAATACAGTTTATAACACTTCAGAATTAGAAGAGACTTTTGCTGTTTCAGGGAAAGGCCTGCATATTCCCAAGTAATGGCATGACTTCATATGAGAAAAGAAGACATATAGATAGATTTTGTCAGCACTTGCTTGTACTCCCATTGTGAGCTTATTTGAGCATTTACATTTGGCCACAGGGAGGAGCAGGATTTTTCTCACTGTGAGAGGCACAGTTCTCAGTTACAATTTCTGGATGACAAGAGTATTCTATGTCTGCTTCATTCACTGGGGGAAGCTGCATTTACAGCTCACTTATATTTAAATATTGCAGTTTTCCACCTATGCAGATGTGTGGATGTAGGTGAAGCAAATAAGTTTTCTCTGAAGAAGGAAAAAACACACTATTATTAATACTGCAGTGCTATTACAAATATCCAATTATATTTTGAATAAATTATTATTCTTTTAGGATAACTTTTTGTAATAGTTGGCATTACTGTCAGCTTTTGAAAACTGAGAATATGCTCAGTGATCTTTCAATTTTGCGGGGGGGGGGGGGGAGGGGGTTGGGTGTAATTAATGGATTGGATTATTTGAGGGGATAGGATTCTTTTAACTACAAATAACTTACTAACTAGAAATCACTTGATTTTTACATCCTTTGCTACAGAGAGAAGAGATTAGGTAAAATTAATATTGAAAGCTATGGTCTTTATATCCTGAATCCAGTTCTGTTAAAATTGAATTATAGCAGCTACATTTTCTACTTTGAATGTTAGAAAATATTCACAACAGACTTTTTGATGCTACCTATTGCTTTCTTCTATTATTTTGAAGATTGGTGAATTCCCCTGTTTTTTAGGGTTGGTTTTTTGTTTTGTTTTTTGGAAAGTGAGCAGAGTAGTAAATCAGTTATCAGACCTTCCCTGCCACTGTTATCTGCAGCTGCTTTTCCATACCATGTGAGAAAAGCTGATGAATCTAAATCCTGGAAAATATATAGGGTGGAAAATACTTTTCTAAAGCATAATTTTTAAATTATTGAAAAAATGTTAAAAACTCTCCTGTATATTTTAATGGAATAGGAATGGAATAGAATTGCATTATTACATGTAATATTTAGTACCAGGAAGAAACATGATAACCAATATTAAGTCAACTCTTAATTAAAAGAATAAAAATTAAGCAGTCTAGTTGTCAATAACATGAACTAGAATGAGTAGAATATGTATCTTCAATATGTCCGACTCTGTGGAAAGTAGAAGGAGTTTAAAAGCAATAGTTTTTACCTAAATTATAATTGGTTATTTTTCAAATGGATTAAGAATAGAAATATTAGTAATTTCTAATTCATGTTTGCCATCTGGTCTCTGCACAGTACTAAATGGAGTGGACAATAGAAAAGTGCATTATCTGAAATTCAGGAAAAAGTTGGGGTTTTGCTAGTTAATAAAATAATCTGGAGCTCATGATCAGCAAACATAAGGATGCAAAAATATAAAGATTAATTTATACATATAAACAAATACAAGTCCTAGAACAAGTGAAAATTAAGAATAAACTCTTCTGTTTGTATTGCTGCACACTTTGAACTATGTTATAGCAAAAAGATTTTCTGGGGCTAATATGCGCTTTGTATCCTATTCTGTAACTGATTATGGGGATATTTACCATATAGCAAGACTGTAAAGATTACTAAGGTGCTGTGTGTGAGGCACTCTATAAACATATACAATGTGCAATATGACAGCTTAGCATTATTATGCTATTGTATTTTGTACAGCCATGTATGTAATATGCATCAGTTGCTCAGATTAAATATCTGAAATAAGAGCTTAGTTGCAGAAAGTTTATGCAACCACAAATGTGCTAATTAATCCTCATGGTGCCATAGAACTCCTGGGCTGTTTTAAATTTCATATAGGGTTCTATAGCATGCCATATTACTTGCCAGAAATATTCTGTACTCCCTTTTTCCTGCATTGTCAAGATTGGTTGCCAGCATTTGTTCTGTATGTGCTGCTATGTTTTTTCTCCACAAATTATAATTGAAAGATTTCCCCCATTTTCTCTGAATACAGATAGTCCTCAAGTTACGACCACAATTGAGCCCAAAATTTATATTGCTAAGTGAAACATTTGTTAAATGAGTTTTGCCCCATTTTATGGCTTTTTTTGTTAAGTGAATCATTTCATTTGTTAATTTAGTAACATGGTTGTTAAGTGAATCTGGCTTCCCCATTGACTTTGTTTCTCAGAAAGTCGCAAAAGCTGATCACATGACCTCAAGACACTGCAACATCATAAATATAACCAGTTACCAAGCATCTAAATTTTGATCATGTGACTATGCGGTACTGCAAGGGTCATAAGTGTGAAAAACGGTCATAAGTCAGTTTTTTCAGTACTGTTGTAACTTTGAATGGTCACTAAATGAACTGTTGTAAGTCAAGGATTATTTGTACTTGGAACTTCAAACAACATTTCTCTGAGTGTAGTACATTTTTTTGGTCTGTAAAAGATTAAAGATCAATTAGTTGCATGGGGTTAGTATTGCTAATATGCTGATGATCTCTATGCTATGCCAGGCATGTGATGTTGGTCAGGTACCTGCTCAGTAGACTCTAAGGGCCTGGATGGGGAGAAACTAGCTATGACTCAATTCTAGCAAGCCAGAGTGGTTGTGGGTTGTTGATCCTCTGAGGTCAGGAGAGATAGCACTTCCCCCAGATAGAAGTGATATGTAGTTTGGGGGTTCTCCTGCATTACTGCCTCCTGCTGGAATAAGCGGTGGCAAATGAAATAATCATCACCATCACTATCTTGTAGGCCAGCGGTTCTCAACCTATGGGTCGCGATCCCATTTGGGGTCGAACGACCATTTTATGGGGGTCGCCAAACAACGCGATCCGCCATTTTTCCCCCTCAGGGGGCGCCGCTGCGCATGCGCACCGCGCAGGGGGGCACCGCCGCGCAGGGGGGCGCCGCCGTGCATGCACGCCACGCATGGGGCACGTCTGTGTGGCCGGGGGTCACCGTATGAAAAGGTTGAGAACCGCTGTTGTAGGCCAATTGCACTCATTCCTGAACCTCATTGGATTATTGCAATGCACTCTACATGAAGCTGCCCTTGAAGGCCATCTGGAAGCTGTAACTGCTCCAGATTGCAGTGGTGCCTGTAGTTTTGGATACTCCCTTGTTCACTCACATTACTGTATGAGCTGCATGAGCTACACTGTCTCCCAGTTGTTTTCCAGGTGCAATTCAAAGTGCTAGTTATCACATGATGCAGCTCCAGGTTACTTGCAGAACAGTCTCTTCTACTAGGTCAGATAGAGTGGGCTTGCTCCAGCTTTCTTTCCTCAAATATTATCCTCTGGTAGGACCTTTGAGACCTCCTTTCTCCATAGCCATCTTGATTCTTTGGAATAGTCAGAATAATCAGAATGGAGCTGACTTGTTTACAGTAGAAGTAGTTTGGCACCTGGAGGAAAGAGTTTGATTTGTTTGTTTTTATATTGTTTTTATTAGTTGTTGTAAGGCACTTAGGGCTGGGCAACATAGGCAGACAGGAAAGAGGTACAGATAACCAAAGTGTACAAGAAAACTATTGAGAATTGTAGAGATAGTATTAGAAAGAATGAGTTCAGTAAAGGATACTAAGAACAAAGAGAAGGTTTCATATATATTCAAAATAAAACACTAACAATAACCAGCTGGGCATACAACTCCTCTCCCTTGTTAATCAACATAGCGTCCAGGTCTTCTAACACAGCTACTAATCTAGGTCAAGGGACCATGCTGCCATGGAAAGTGTCTAAAAATCAGACCTGATCAAGACAACAGATAGAAAAAACTCTATAGCAGCAGAGCTGGTATAGAGCACAATATGATAAAGTTCCTTACTTCTCATTTTTCTGAAATTTGTATGGTGTTTTTGCAGTTTGATGATAACTAACTGTTAGATCTAGTTTATCATTAAAGAAAATAGCTTTCACTTCGTGATATGCCTTTGCATTGATGTGAAAAGGCCAGCCTATGAAATAAAATATGAAAAAGAACAAAATCTAATTTGATGGGACATCATCTCAGAGCAAGGAAGGTGAAGATACTATGAAATGAAAGTGTTTTTCTGTTTATAGAAATATATACAAATATCTTTTGAAAGGTTGCCCTAAAGCAGCGATGGCGAACCTTTTAGAGACTGAGTGCCCAAACTGCAACCCAAAACCTACTTATGCATCGTCGGGTGCCGGGTGGGTGTGGCCAATTGGCTGGGTGTGGCTGCATGGTAACGGCAGATTGGGTGGGACTAAAAGGTTCAATCAATCAATTCCAACTTTGCAAGATCTTTTTTTTTCTCGCGAAAAGTTGAAATTGATTGATGAAACCTTTTTTTTTTTTGCACACGGCGGTGGAGGCCTAAAGCGAAAAGGTTTTATAAAACCCAGCTGAAGGCCTAGGACTGGGGCAATAGCACGTGTGCCCATAGAGAGGGCTCTGAGTGCCACCTCTGGCACCCGTGCCATAGGTTTGCCACCACTGCCCTAAAGTCTAAAATATACGAACAATTTTTTTTCTATATCCTATACTCATAGTACTAGAAAGATGAATGCTCCAATTTTCCTCATTACACACAAAATCTCATTTCTTCTGCATCTTCACATGGTTTCACATAATAGAGTATTAGTTGAACAAATAGAGCAAAAAGGCTTCAGGTTCATCATGCCAAAGGAATCTCTGAGTTAAGGAATAATTTTAATGTTTGGAATTTTTGCAGGGCTATTAATAGGAACAGCTAAAACCTCCAAAGATGTACTATATTGTACTTTATTATTTCAATTTATACATCTACCCATCTCATTTCTAAAACATGATTCTGGCTGGCTCACAAAAAATTAACAGTATAAAAATACCAAAAAGTATACAATGATGTAAGAAAAATAAAATCTTATAAAAAACTCATACACAAAATGCTTAGCTAAAGTAGTTGACATATTAGTTTACTGCAGGAAGTTAATTTATCTGTGTAGTATTTAGAGTAAAATAAGTTACTAATTCACAGGTACTTAACTGAGTCATGATCCCAATTGGGGATGTCTTGAAAATATAAACCCTGTATGTTTTTTTTTGAAAAAGCAGTATCTGGTTGAACAGACTTATTAAAATGTGCATGTATGAATGAACTTGATTACCCATTGAAGTTTACTGTCTTCTTGATCAGGTGATGTGCTGACAGTTGATATTGCCACAGCCCCAGACTACCTAAACCTGTTTCCCATCTGCAAATTGCCACAGAGACAATCTAGGTAGAATTGCTGTGATGTCACAAAATGACATACTAACAAGGGCTATGGAACTTCTGAAGTGCAATTGTTTGGAGAAAAAAGGTGATCTGGGTACTGTATATGTAATTGGAAAGTCCCAATTATTTTATAAATGATTCATCCCTTTCTTATGAGGGTCACAGTCATCTAGACCAGTTATTTAATTGAACATGCCCTATTCAGATTTTTCTTTTTAATTTGTAAGCTTTGTATCTCACTTTTTATTCAGGAGATCAAGATGATGTTATAGTACTCCCTCCTTCTATTTTTTCCAACACCTACACTCCTGTGAGTTAGGCTGGGTTAACAGAAACAGAATGGCTTAAAGTCACCCACTGACCTTTTGTGACTGAAGGTGGATTTGAATCTGAGTTTCTCTGGTGCTTGTCCAACACTTTAATCTCCGCACCGTACTGGGTCTCTAATGATGTGTCAGTTAACAGTTGTTGCGATCAGTAGATTCTACATGTAACCACAATGTCATATTCAAGAGATGTAGGGTAGTGATTGCTGTAGAATATTTAACTTAGCCTTCCTGATCACACCTGGTATATGGTATATGAGAGCAAGTACACATTCCTAAGTGAAATTAAATGAACTTCATGTACAGTATTAGGAGTTTTTGCTTTATTATAAGATTGTAAAAAATTTTCATTGCATGATCTTATTTAACAAACATTGCATGATCTTATTTAACATTGGCTTCAAACTTCTTAGCCATAGGACTGCAACCTAAAATGATTCTTTCCTTTTTAATTCACATTCAGGAAAGTATCAAAATCATCCTGAACTGACTTCTAAGCAACTAAGCAAATTCTTCAAACTCTTGGGACTGTCTAGCTCAGGGATAGGAAACCTTGGCTCTTTTATGACCCGTGGACTTCAGCTCCCAGAATTCCTGAACCAGCCATGCTGGCTCAGGAATTCTGGGAGTTGAAGTCCACGAGTCATAAAAGAGCCAAGGTTGCCTACCCATGGTCTAGCTACAGGGCAGAGTTAAATAAGTTCCAACTGTAAGCATATCTTTTTTGATCCCATCTTACTGAGACATAAAAAGTTTTACTATAGAGGTAAATAAAATTTTGAAAGGAGAAAAATGGATCAGTCTTGACTCAATATAATGTGAAAATTATATGATAATTGTTACGCAGATAAAGACAGAAATAGGGTATATTATCTTCGTCAGCCAAAAATGGGAAAATATCATTTTTATTTAGGTTTCCACAAACATGAAGTCGGTTTTAAGAGAGTGAAGAAGGATATTGAAAATCCTCCTACTGAAATGGTGGGAAGATGGAGAGAAAAATAGGATGGAATTATGTAAGTAAAACATACACTAGCAAGACTGACTTATTTGTATATTTGTATGTTTTCCTAGAAATAAATATAACTGTGCCTTTGTGGCTTATTCTCAAGAAGAGTGCCTAGACCAGGGGTGTCAAACTGCTAGCCCACGGGCTGGTTGCATCATACATAGACCACACCTACCCCAGCTCTGGCAATGCAAAAAAAGTCACGATATGTCGCAACATGTCACGTGATGTGGCGAGTTTGATACCTGTGGCCTAGACTATAATTGTCATCCTGGAAACTCACAGGCAGAACTGAAGCAAAAACTCCTTAGCAACTGGTTTTTAAGTTGTTCTGCCAGTGATTCAGGAAGTAATATAGTGGTGCTTAAAAGCTTATGAACCCATTTTCCTCAATAAATAAATAAATAAACAAGTATAATGTTTTTGATGCATTTGTTTAATTAGGTTCCCTTTATCTAGTTTTAAGATGTGTGGAGAACAGATCATATTTTTAGGTCATATTTATGTAAAAATATTGAAAATTCAAAAGGTTTCACAAACACTTATGTGACACTGTATATATTAATCTAAAGCATATCCATTGATGGATGTATTTACTATAGATTTGTCCAGTTCTCATGAATTGCTAGGCATTATTGTATCGGTATAGTTTAATCAGGCCTGATGAATATCTGCAGTGGCTGCCATAGTTGCAGTTTGGGTTTTCATCCTGAAAACTTCCATCCTGGGGAATGTGGACCTTCAAAATGTCAAGTCATTTGGTGCACATCATCACAATGTTAAGAATGACAGGGCTCCTAGTTGCTCACACAATAGTGATATTCTATACAGTTTCTCAGACACTTTTGGGCTCCTGCTTAAAGAAATTACATCTTTTTTTCGGTCTGTGATAGCCAAACACTGAAAAAACACCAGGCTTGTTTTGGCACATCTTGTTCCACTTTGTTGGTGCCTTTGTAATTCAAATGGACATTTCCCTAGGATTGCTCAGCAACTGTGTGACCCAGCTTCTTTAAGGAGGCGTTAGAAAGCACAATATGATTTCTCTGTGTCCCATGATAGTTTTGGTGATGTAAATATTTTAAAGGTAACATTAGCCCTAGGACAAATGTGTTAAGTCAAAAGAATTTAAAAGCTTCACAAAGGCTAATAGACTCTTGATCCAATCCATACAATTTACTACTTTTTCAGGTGTTGGATGTATGTATTTTTTTGTTTTATTTTTGTTTTATTAAAAAATACAAAACTCATTTTTTTTAAAAAAAATAACAAATGAAGAAAAAATATAAAACAAGATATTAAAAAAGTGCATTAAAAATGAAAAAACTTATACACATATTGCTGAATACTAATTAATACATTACTGCGGGTCAAGAAGCAACAGTGAGAACTGGACACGGAACCACTGATTGGTTCAAAATTGGAAAAGGAGTCTGGCAAGGCTGTATATACTGTCGCCCTGCCTATTTAACTTATATGCAGAGCACATCATGAGAAAGGCAGGGCTAGATGAAACAAAAGTTGGAATTAAGATTGCCGAGAGAAATATCAACAACCTAAGATATGCAGATGATACCATTCTAATGGCAGAAAGTGAAGAGGAACTAAAGAGCCTCTTGATGTGGGTGAAGAAGGAGAGTGCAAAAGTTGGCTTGAAACTCAACATTAAGAAAATAAAAATCATGGCATCCAGCCCTCTCAATTCCTGGCAAATAGATGAGGAAGAAATGGAGGTAGTGACAGATTTTATTTTTCTGGGCTCCAAGATCACCTCAGATGGGGACTGCAGCCAAGAAATTAAAAGACGCTTGCTCCTGGGGAGGAAAGCTATGGCAAATCTAGACAGCATACTAAAAAGCAGAGACATCACCCTGCCAACAAAAGTGCGTATAGTCCAGGCCATGGTTTTCCCAGTTGCAATGTATGGCTGTGAAAGTTGGACCATAAGAAAGGCTGAGCGCCAAAGAATTGAGGCCTTTGAACTATAGTGCTGGAGAAGACTCCTGCGAGTCCCTTGGACTGCAAGGTGTTCAAACCGGTTAGTCCTAGAAGAGATCAACCCCGACTGCTCATTAGAAGGCCAGATCCTGAAGTTGAAACTCAAATACTTTGGCCGCTTAATGAGAAGGAAGGACTCACTGGAGAAGGGCCTAATGCTGGGAAAGATTGAGGGCAATAGAAGAAGGGGACGACAGAGAATGAGATGGCTGGATGGAGTCACTGAAGCAGTAGGTGTGAACTTAAATGGACTCCAGAAGATGGTAGAGGACAGGAAGACCTGGAGGAACGTTGTCCATGGGGTCGCGATGGGTCGGACACGACTTCGCAATTAACAACGACAACAATATTAGTTGCCCACTCCTTGTGAAACAGACCCCCCTCCAAATTTTTAAACTATTTGCAAATTATTAAGGATGTGTGTGTGTGTGTGTGTGTGTGTGTGTTTAAACAATATTCTGTTTGATATGAATGACAGTTATGATAAATAAACATGTGAACTCACAAAGCCAGTCATCCTGCCCACTGCATTGGAATGGGCTTAGAGTAGATTATTCTACAATAACCAAATTCTGTTTCAATCCCACTTAGCATCATTTTGCCGTGCCTATTCCTTTAGGGAACAAGAGAGGGAATATGTGCAGCCGAGGAGCAAAATTATAGGGTGATGTATTATGCATGGCCCATTGCACAATACATCTATTCCTGATTCTGACATGTTGGCAGGTATGGTTTAATTATGCATTATGTTCAGAAGTACTTCCTTTCATTAGTCCTGAATCTCCCCACATTTCATTCATTTGGTTAAGTTGAACATGACTTTACACAGAGTATATCATGGTCCTGCTTGCTCAACATAACTGGCATATTGATTACTCTTCTAATTAATTCACTCATCTTCATATGTTGGCAGCAGACAATCCAGGATGATTGGGATGGTCAAATGGAAGCCATGTTCTTCATCCTTCTAGTTTCTGCAATGGAAACTTAGAGGCTGATGCTTCATTTCCAAATGCCTATGTTTTTTTCCCCCTCTAGAGAGATTTTTTTTTAAAAAAACCTTGATTTAAATAGTCAGGAATGGCACTACTGTAGACAGATTCTGGGGGACCTTATTTTGGTCCTTCTAGCTCTTTCCCTGCTTGTGGCTGTAGAAGAGATAAATGATCAAAACAGCCACAGATGGGGCAAAGTTTTTGCTATTTTTGCAAATTAATAGAACAGACAACCCTCAGAGAAGCAGTTTTCCCAACAACAATGAGTAAGCTGATTTAGAAAAAATAGTTTTGTGTTTACCAAAACCAGAAATGTTTGGGACTATATCTAAGCTGCTCTGGACTAACTGGATGGGTAATCCCCCAATGATTCATTTAAAATATAATGCAAGTAAGGCCACAGTAGAGAATAATTGTGCTGAATTCTAGCTTAGACATCATCCAAGGCTAGATTGAATATTAGCATACAATTCCCTCTAGCATGAAATGTATCAGTTTTTTCATTATGCTACTTAAGTTAATCAGAAAATGAAGTAATATTTGACAAAGTAAAGTGAAGCAAAAGGACTAGTCTCTCTTTGTAACCTTTCAGTTCATGGTTCAGGCCTGCAAGCAGGAACAAATTGCCACACCAACTACAAAAAGCATTTACATCACAGCAACATTTTATTACTTCAGAATCAAAGGAGATGCCAGTGTTAGCATTTATAGCTTATAGATTTATTATCTTCAGCCTATTGACATCAAGATGAATTGGGTGTATGACTTCTATTATTCTTAGCGAGCATGGCCAATCTTAAGTGTTCCGTTAGCTGAAATTCAAACATATATTAATTTTGTAAAATGGGGAGAAACAATAACAAATACATTAAAATTTACAAAATGAATCTCATCAAAATTTATACTAATCCTTAAGTTTCTTTCTTTGACAAATGACATCCTTGTTCTTCTGAATAGAAATAAATATTTAAACATTTTCATCACTGTACTGATGAAGATAATACTGCTCAAATTCAAATAAACCTCTTGAAGGTAGATTGTCCAATAAAGGAGTATATTTGTAGCTCAAGGTTGAAATGAGGGGGTCTTTGACACTCTCTGAGCTTGGTTGTTTTCTTGCAGACGTTTCATCCTCCAAACTAGGTAACATTATTGGTGCTAAACTGTTCTAGCCATCTAGATTCTTTTTACTGGGAAAAATTATACCCAGAATAAGATGTTGGGGGAATATTATACTTCCTTGTTTTGAGATGTGTTCTAAATGTATTAACTTTTTGAAAATATCAGGCAAGACTTAAATTTATATTTCAGACAAGATGTTTGTTCTCATGGATGCAGCTTTTCCTTTACCAAACGCAACAGAGCTGCTTATTGTATGCAGCTTTTAAACAATATAATAGCAGAGGCTTCTTGAATAAAGAACAATCTTATAATTTTCACTGCTCAGTAATAGTCATAATCATAGAACCTAATTCCAAAGTGATAATTTTCAGTGTTAACCCATTTTTCCTAAAGACCAATTAACAGAGGACTCTTCCACAAGGCACAGTTTCTATCCCCTAATTCCTCCAAAGCAATATAAAAGACCTGTCAATAATCTCAGCTCTGCCAGCTTCCAAAATGCTGAGCAGAATAACTCAACTAAAGCTCTCCCTCCAGCTGACCAATAGAAGCCTCTAGAAAGCAGCATTCCATTAGTTCATCTCCATTCCATAAGACAGAGACATGAAATATATTGTTAGCTCTTCCATGTTTTCTGTATATATTGCATATATCTAGGCTTTTGCAAAGAAATCTAAGCATCTGCAATATGGTGAAGCTTTTCTACTGCTAAGCCACCATTCTATCTGTTTTAAAAATCCCATTGAGAGCCATAAAGATGATAGGATATCATGTATCCATTTTGCAAACAGGTCCTTTTTCCAGTACTTCTAACTATGGTTGTAGACTGGAACAAGGGCTGATGTGGGGTAATAAATGGTAAACAAAATGTGGACCTGCAGAAACTTTAATTCATTGTGATGGCATTTCAGAAATCAAGCTGTAGCAAAGCATTTTTCAGACCCATTTATCCCTGTCAAAAGAAATGGGGGAAACCATTTCTTAAGATACAGGTGACATCATGTACTTCTCGAACCTGCATTTTCTGAATCCATAACCAAGGGAAAATCTTCTTTGCAGTAATTCAAAAGTATTACAATATGGTCGGGTCTTCTCTTTTCAGGGAGAGTTACAGCTACCAAACAAAGCAGCAATAATTCCATGCACTCCAGGCTACCTTGGGTGGCTGAAATGAATCCTAGAGTACACTAAGATGGCACTTGCTTCTTTGGGGAATGTAACCCATCTGGGTTCAGAGACCTATTGCAATTCAAGTGAGCTGCCAATCCATAGTGTGTCTATTTTTCTTTTGGATTTCAATTTATTATCCCTTACCCAATACATTAACTTATTTGGACACTGATCTAGATCATGCTGATGACAAAGATAAATAGAACTGGTACCTGTCAACCTGTCAGTGGTATGCACTCCCAAATTGCCTTATGATCTTATTCAGCAACTTCATCTACCTATGAAGTCCTTAGAGCCTATCTAGAATAGAGGGGTGTAGAAATCTGGGTAATTAAAATAAAAGAACCAGGCAGCCAGAAAACTGTATCACATTTATGCTGGTGCAGCATATGGTTGCATTTAATCCGTGCTCTTTGTCTGCCCTGATTTTCAGGTTATTTGTAACTGCAATTCAAGGTGAAGTAAAAAGCATCCAGAGAGTTGAATGAAAATCTGCACACAAAAGACAATAATGAATGAAATGAATTTGGTGATAATGATTCAGAGCATTCTACTGCAATCACTGTGGTCTGGGATAGCACTCAATCTTTTCAACAGTTATGTGGATGAAGGTACACATGGAAAAGTTGTAAAATTTAGAACTGGGCTGAAACTATGGTGACATTTTAAGGCAATAAAGAGTTAAACATACAGCAGTATCATGAAAATCAACAATAATAAAGAATCAGGGTGGCAAAAGCAAAATGTATACCATGGGGCAATAATTAGTAAACAGCACTATTTAAACTTGGGATAGATGGTGAAACCTTGTATTTCTTAAGGAGAAAATGCTCCTTGACTAATCCCTTGTTCAGCGATTTTTTAAATACTGTTTATAAAAATTTATAGAATGGATTCCAACTACTGTTTTCTCGTTGACACCTTTTTCTTTTTTGCTTTTCACAAAATATCTCTTAAGAAGACAAGGGGCCTTGCCATTTTGGACCAGTAATACTAGAATTCTCTGCTTAGAAATATGCTTAAGTGGTCTGACCCTTTGGCTATGGTAAAAATGAGAAGTAAAGTTAAGCCTATAACAATGTTTAATGTTTACAAGATATTATAATAAGGAAGATTTGTGTTATCCCCTCCCCAAGAAGCAATTGCTGGATCCATCTGTTTTAGATAACTTTGGCCCCATCTCCAACCTTCCCTTTTAAAGGAGGGTTGCTAAAAAGTAGGTCCACTGGAGTTTCAGAGATTCCTGGAAAAAAAAAACAGATTATCTGGACCCTGTTTAGTCGGGCTTCAGATCTGGTATAGGACTAAAATGACATTGATTATACATGTGAATGATCTCTGGTAAGGCAGGATGGGGTGATGCATCCATCCTTGCTTACCTTGATCTCTCATTGATTTTTGATGCTGTGAATCATAATAATCTGAACTGGCTTTGGCTGCTAGGAGTGGGAGGTGTAGTTCTGAGTGGATTCTTCTCTTCTGGGGCCTTCCTTCCTCCTGGGAGAAAAGATCTAGCCTACAATCCCTTCTCTGTGGAATACTTAAGGGTTCTACACTCTCCCTATTTCTATTTAACATTTAATGAAGGCATTGGCTGAAGGTAAGGCATCATCAATATGCTGATGATACATAGCTCTAAATGTCCATCCTGAGCTAACCAAAAGATGACAATGAGTTTCTGTCTTAGTGTTTTGAGGTTGGTTGGGGAATAAGAAGTTTCAGCTTCATTCTAGCAAAATGGAAGTTTTGGGCCCGCTGGATTCAATGTTTTCCCACCTTTGGTTTTGGATGGGTTTGCACTACCCCAAACAGAACAGTGCACCATACGAGTGCTCCCCTGGACTCAGAGTTCCTGTTTGAAAAGCAAGTGGTAACTTTGTTTTAGAAAAGTAGTACTTTTTGTGGGGTATAAGACACTGCTCATACTCATACCTTAGTTACCCATCAAGTGGATTACTGCAGTGTGCTCTATAGAGCTGCCCCAAATGAGAACCAGAAGATTAAATTGGTCCTAGCCTAGCCACGCTTTTCCTCTGGAGCAGTGGTTCTCAACCTTTTTAATGCCGCGACCCCCAACTGGTCATAAGTCAAGGACTAAACCGGTTGTAAGTCGAGGACTAAACTGGTCATAAGTCGAGGACTACCCAACCGGTCGTAAGTCAAGGACTTTCCCTGCCTGCGAGCGCCACGCATGTGTGGTGCCGCCCCTTGCACCGGCCGAGGCGTAGCTGGCAAGCGGCAGAGATGAAGCAGGCCGACCACCAGCTGGGCCAACAGCTGGCCCAGCCCAAGGGAGGTAAGGCACCCGCCGGAAAGGGGGAAAAAATGGCGGACAGCCTTGCTTGGCGACCCCCGTGAAATGGTCGATCGACCCCAAGTGGGGTCGCGACCCATAGGTTGAGAACCACTGCTCTGGAGGCATGGAGGTATGGATGTGCTCTTGGGCCTGCCAGCTGAAAGGTTAAATAACGTGAGATATTGCTACTGCTAAGTGCTTATTGCATTTGTTCTTGTAAGTTATTATGCTTTTGCTGTTTTCTTTGTATTGTATAAATGGTATTTGCAAGATGAGTGGCCATATAAATCTAATAAATAAATAACTTGACAATCAATATTTAATATGTAGCATTTTGATCAGTATCAGCAAGATTTCATTTTACTTCCTTGTTCATTTGGGGATGCCATAGTGCAGTGTTTCCCAAACTTGACAATTTTAAGGCATGTGGACTTCAACTCCCAGAATTCCACAGCCAGCGTTGCTGGCTGTGGAATTCTGGGAGTTGAAGTCCTCATGCCTTAAAATTGTCAAGTTTGGGAAACACTGCCATAGTGCAAGAGGGCAGTTTGGGGAAACATAATGTAGCAACTTAGCTACAATGTAAGAAATCTGAACTTAGTGCCTGGAAAGAGGATCCATCGTGGTAGAAATGCAGGTTGATTCAAGGAGGAAAATATTTGAGAATAACAACTGTTTGCTATATCCATTCATCTACAAAAACAATTATAGCAAAACAAATTGCTCAAGAAATTTCATTTGGAGATTTTTTAAAGAGTTACTCTGACTTTCTAACGATGGCTCTTGGGTATAGATTAACATATCCTGAAGCTTTGCACATGTTCTTATAAGAACAACAAATAAGGGTTGATTTCATCAGGTTCTTCTTAACTTGTTTTTCTTTGCCCGTCTCTTTTTAATGTTCAGTGCTAACAATCATCTGAGCCTTCCAAGTGGTGGGGAAATACTGGTACAATGTTCAACCAGGGTAACTGCTTTACAGCAACACATGAAGAATTTTTTCAGTCTTCTTGTCACAAAACAGCTACTTTTGCATTGTGTCTATAACAGTGGTTCTCAACCTGTGGGTTGGGACCCCATTTGGGGTCGAACGACCATTTCACGGGGGTCGCCAAACAAGGCTGTCCGCCATTTTTTCCCCCTTTTCTTTGGCCACGCCTTTGGCACCCGGTGATGTATAAGTGGTTGGGGGTCACCACAACATGGGGAACTGTATTATGGGATCACGGCATTAGAAAGGTTGAGAACCACTGGTCTATAAGCTTGCGCACTCATGATGCTCATCTTGCTCCTTCAAAGCAAACTGCCGGCTCTTTGGCTCCTAAGCATAAAGGCTTTTTAAAAAAAATATTGGGACGTTTTCTAGATAATTTTAGATGATTAAAAACAAGCTAAGTGGAGAAAAATACATGTCATTTGGAATTGGACATTAAAAGAGATTCTTATTGTCCTCTCTTTGACAATATCTAAAAAAAAAGCCTGTGCTTTTTCTCAGCAGAATCCACGCATAATAGAAAGAAACACATGGGAGGGCATAATAGCTGCAGATATTCTTAGGAAAGGCTGGTTGATCTCCAAACATTTCACAGCCTTGTTGTTCTTCCAGATATACCACCTTATGAGAAGTAGCTTATTGGGAATAGACCTAGCAATTCTCCCAGCTGAAATAAGCTTACTTTGCATTATTTTGGACAGTTTGAGTCAGCTTCTTCAGGAAACTTACTTGATATGTTCATTATTTATTTTTTTATGTTTTGAATGCTTTATTTTTTAAAAAATCCAGTAATGTATATTCAATTGATTTACATCTTGATACATTAGTCAGCTCATTCATATACTGTGGTGTCCTAAATTGTGCCAAGTTAACTAATTAGATCCAAAAATTAAGATTTTAACTCTGGACTTAACACGGACCATACATTCTTCTCAGAAATAAATCCTATGGAATTCAGTGGAACCCACTCCAAAGACATATAGGAATTACAGTACTATACTTCTTGAGATAGGTTTCCTCACTAGCTTTCCGTTGCAAAGGAAAACAGTCAGAACATCTGACTCCTAAGCAACAGAAACTGTAGTTAGTATTTCTCACGAAAGCAGCAAGCTGTTACTTGCTGCCTTGCTCAGCCCTTTGGCTATTATTTCCCAGCCTAGTCCACATTTGCAATATTTTCTGATTCATGTTCTTAGCTTCCCTGATAACTTCATAGCCAGTTTCATAAATTGACAGCTCAATTTTGTATGGTATTATTTTTCTTGTCCCACACATGAAGTTTTTGCTAACTCTTTTTGTCCATTCTTCACCTTTTTTTCGATTGAATGTAATATTACTATACAAAAATTGAAACAGCAATAAAGCAATGACAGGAAACTCAACAACGTAATGCCTTGTACTTGAGCTTCATATTTGTTATCAACTTGACTGTGATCTACCATGAATGGATCAATTCTCTTTGGATTTAAACAAATAAACAAATTATTAAATTATTAAATTTCACATAGATAATGCAACCAGAAATGCTGAGGACTGTATTGCAGCTCTACCTTATCATCAGGGCTGGAGCTATAGCAAATCAGCTGTCTCAGGTGGCAGAGGTGGAAGTTGGCTGAAGCATGTTGGAGGAGAGACACTGTATCAATTAGTTTTTTCCTACTAGCCTTTCTTTTTCTAAGCTTGTTGGCTATATTCAGATGCAGTAGCAGATGTAGTCCTATTCAGCAGGTTATTGTACAGGTAGTCCTCGACTTGCAACATTCAAAATTACAACAGCACTGAAAAAAGTGACTTATGACCGTTTTTCACACTTAACGACCTTGTAGCATCCCCATGGTCATGTGATCAAAATTCAGACGCTTGGCAAGTGATTCATATTTATGACAGTCATGTGATCACCTTTTGACAAGCAAAATCAATGGGAAAGCCAGATTCACTTAACAACCATGTTACTAATTTATCAACTATAGTGATTCACTTAACAACTGTGGCAAAAAAGGTCATAAAGTGGAGCAAAACTCACTTAACAACAGAAATTTTAGGCTCAATTGTGGTCAAAAATCGAGGACTCCTTATATGTTGAATGGGAGAGGTGCTATCTCTTTGCTTCAGGCAGTAAATATATAGTGACTTACTGGTAACTATTGGGAAAAAATATATCAATACAATATAAGGTGGTATTCTGTAACAAGTCTCACTGGAAGCAATAGACCTTATTCTGTGATCAGTGTGGCATTACCTCTGATTAAAACCTAAGGTTCTTTTGTAACTCGTTACTAAAGCCATTTTTTAACAGTGCAGTTCAGTATCATGCTCTCAGCTTATTTTGTCCTGTTTCATTTGCTAAGGCTTCTCTTGCTAAACACAGCCATTTGCGCTGTGGATATATTTCTAGAAAAATATTTTTGTTGCAGTTTGTCAAAAGAAAAGAAATGTTTGTATGTTCAAATGTCCTTGATACTTCTCTGTAGGAATACACAAAAGTGGGTGAAGTGGTTAAAAAGGATTATACTTTTCTGTATAAAATAGGTTTAAGGACCTCCTAAGGTAAAAATGGAAGGATGGAACAAGTGATAGCATGAGGGGGACTTATGTATTCAAATATCTATAAAGAAGCACAGAGGAGAACTACTGACAGGTGGATAGTAACATTTGCGTTAAGAAACACATATTTCAGCCAAGAAATCTGAGAACTGCTGTCTCAGTTCATCTGATAAACAAACCACAAAATGGGAAAATTGTACCTTCTATCTAAGATACTTCTGCAAACAAAATGTACAGATTTGGTACAAAAATTAGGCCACTTGATATGGATCAGAAAGATATTATTTCAGATGTATATTCAACACTGGCAGCTAAATAGATGACTTTAAGCTAACATATCTGCATTGAACCTTTAAGCTGCTCCTGCCCTGTGCTAACACCAAACTGTTTTAATGAAAAAAAAAACTTAAAATATTAAAATATACAAGTATGAAGGCACAGCAACCAGCTTTCAAATAAAGCACCCATACTTGCATTTTCCCAATTTGGCTCAATAAGATCTGCTACAGCTGCTATTAGAAATGCATGGTGATTATAGTTCTTATCTGACATGTAGTAGAATGTCACTGGTATGAAACCCGGTAGAGGTTTTTTCCCTCTTTTTATGTTTTTTTCTTTTACTGATCTATGTTCCTAGTGGGATTTTTTTTTTAAGTTTTATTGATACACTGTTCAAGACATTTCAAGCAGAGAGGTTTCACAGAAAGAAACTTAGAATTTATTTTAGAAAAAACAACACAGTGAAAACATTGGTGAGTCAGGAAAAGAAAATTAATATTTTTACTAGCTTTCAGACCAATGATGTCCTACATGTCAGACAAGTGTGAGTACTTTCCTGCTTCTGCACAGTACTCACAGTGCAGAGGTTTACTAAGAAGAAAATTAAGCACAGCAGGCAAGCTGGAGTAACACTATCAGCCATCAAAGAGTAGAAAATCTTTCTTTTGTGTCAGAGCAGAAAAACACAGTTAGGGGTTGCATTTGTGGTGGACTGAAAGTGAATAGAAGGCAGTGGCATCCATTCCTATGCTCCAGAAATGGTTGATGCCCCATACTTGCAATGGGGCAATCTGACAATGTGGATATGCCCACTATCTTTCATCCCAATCTATTTCAAAGTATGGTTCTTGTAAGGATAAACCTGCAGGAGGGACTCCTACGTAAGGCACTTTGAAGTATAGATAAGAGTTGGCCTAGAAATCTAACGTAACAGCCAGCGCAGATGCATCATTGGGCATACAAACAATGTTTGTTTATCTATATTAACTGAATGAGAAGGAAAGGAAAATGCAGGTAGTTTATTCA